CTCATCTCAAGCAGTTGAACACACCTGTAGCCGAGTTTGTGGCCGATTTCACTAGCCTCTCTAGGTTTGCACCTGAGTTGGTGACGACTGAGGAACGCCGTTGTTTGGAGTTTGAGAAAAGGTTAAGGACCGGTCTCATGTTCTGAGTGGCCGGGTCCATGATTAGAGACTATGGGCGCCTTGTAGAGGCGGCGACCCATCTTGAGACTATCATGCAAACTAAGGAAGAGAGAATGAGGGGCTCCAGGAGAAGTCAGGATAGTCAGGGGGATGGTAAAAGTCAGAGGGGTTCTAACCCTCAACAGTTCCAAAGATTCAGCCGAGGTCTATCTTTCTAATGCCTAGCTCGGGTTCTGGGAGAGGTGGTTAGGGAGATGTGACTTGCTTCAAATATGGTCAGTTGGGTCACAAATCTCCAGCTTGCTTCAAATGTAGCCAGTTGGGTCACTCTTAAAACTAAATGGATTAACATTTTCACATATGAAATATATGGGTAAATTTTCCTTTTACTTTGGCATTAGTGTTTTTTTCATTTTTTTCAATGTGTTAAATTCAAAATTATTAAAATAATGATATATTTTTTATTATAAAATTACGTGTGTCAATTTTATTAATCAATACCACACTGTCAATAGAATATTTTTTTAATAATACCAAATATCTAAAAATTTAAAATGTATATATCTAAGGAACAAAAAGTGATTGTATTGAAAAGTTTGACAAAAAATTACTTTTTTTATTAGATTTTTTACAAATTTGATTTATTTTTTAATATTTTTAGTGTAGAATTAATTAAAAAATAAATAAATAAATGATAAATAACTAAATAAAAAAAAATACAATCAAAATGGGCTAAAGGCTGGACCAAACACGTGTTCTGTCACGCGTTACGCATGGGCCACTACTTTAAACGCGCGACGGTGATACTTGCTTTGCTTTCCTCTATCCGCTGTTGCTAATGGTGTGTGGGGTTCCATTAGAAAAAGATAAATGTGGTGTGATTGGTTGTAGAGTTATGAATGATTTTTGAAAAAAAAAATAAAATAAAATAAAATATATTTATATTTCATTTAGTTTCACATATATATATTTTTTATTTTTTATTTTTAAATTTTTCTTTAAATCTTCTAATTAAACACAACATTAATGTATCTAATTTTTAATTTGTTATTAATTCAATTATCTAAAAATCATATTATGTTGTTAGAAAATTATGAATTTTAAATTATGACTTTTGATGGATTGAATTTTTTTTTAACTCATTACTAATACACCCATCTGTTAGATAATGTCTCAATGGGATTACATAATTAAATGTGGTGTTATCATTTATAAGAAACCTACAATTTAAGTGATTCAATTTAGTTAATAGGCTTAAGGGTATATGTGTTATGGACCTAATGTGTAGATACTAGTTGTATAATTTCTATTTCTATGAGGGGCAAAAATAGAAATTAAAACATATTGGTTAAAGTTGGTTTTCATTACCTTCAGTTTTAAAACCAATAATGGTTAATTTATTAGTTTTCATTACCTTTCAGTTTTGAAAACCAATTACAACCTTTAAAAGGTCATGGTCCCTATTCCTTCCCAAGGTGAAAAAATAAGAATACTGTTTTGTTTTTCTAAATCCTCTCAAGGAGAAACATAAGGCACCAAAGGGAAAGGATTAGAAGGCTCTAACAAAGTCAATATTAAGGTTTTATTGACAATCAGACGCTTCCGTTTAACCGTTCATCAATGGATTCAGGTATGTCATTTTGTCTTGATTTCTTGATAATACACATGGTAAATGATCCAAAATGTAAGGTTTATGTTTTGAAATTTATGTTTACACCATCTTCAAAATTGGTGAAATTAATTAAAATTTTTGAAAAATTCAAATAAGCAATTTAAATAAGATGAACGAGTTAAAAGTCATGTGTCAAAAAAAAAAAAAATTTGTATATAGATATAGGCCTTATTTGGGAAGAGTATTAGGTTAAAATAAGTCCCTAAAATACAAAATAAATTAAAATAATCAATAAGATAAATGGCTCTTTTGGAAAGATGGTTATTTTGGAAAGATGGTTAAAGGCCATCTTTTAGCTTTTAACATATTTTGGGTGTTGTGGAGAGCTGAGAGAGCGATGTCCCTTTAGGGGCGTTGTGGAGGATGCGCGTATTATCATGAGAGGCTGTGACTGCACCATCCAACATATCAAAAGGGAAGCCAACATTTGCGCAGATGCATTGGCAAAACTAGGAGAAAATCAACCAGCTGAGTTACTAATTGTTAACGATCCTCCAGCGGAAATCTGTAACTTGCTTATTGCGGATATTGTTCACCTCTCTCAGGAGGTTGTTAGGACGTAGTTCCTTTTGTTTTTCCTTTATTTCCGATATACCCAAAAAAAAAAAAAAAAAAAAAAAAAATTTGGGTCATATCATCTTTCACATTTTTTACACCTTTTTTTTTTTTTTTGAAAAAAAGTCAATAAAAGTCAAAAAGTCAGCTTTTAACCATCTTACCAAAACAACCGTAAAAAGCCAAATTGACATTTAATTTATTTTGAGTCACATCACCTTTCTACTTAAAAAAAAATTAAAAAGTCAATTTTTAACCAATTTTCCAAAACAACTCAAAATGTCACATTCAATTCATAATTATTTTCATTTTTTCTTTCCCATTCATCAAATTAACTACAAAAAAAAAAAAAATCAACTAACTTTCCAAGCACAACTTTTTAAATCAAGTTAAAATAATAATTAAAAAAAATTCAAATAACCAACTTCCAAGTAGGAGTGTAAAAATGGCCCGTGGTCGGGGTGGGCCCGGCCCGTTTGGGCCTAGGCCTGAGCCCCTAGGCTATCAGTTTTGAAGTCCGGCCCGCTCAAGACCTAGTGTCTTTTTTAGTGACAAATAATAAAATTTTGATAGAAAAATTTTAAAATAGCAACAATAAAAAAAAAATCAGACCCGCCCAAGCCCGAGACGAAACCTAGGCCCACCAGGCTGGCCCGCCCAAGGCCCAAACACCATTGGGCCTAGGCCTAATTTTTAGGCTCATGGACCGGCCTGAATTTTGGCGGGGGCCAGTGAGGCCCGACATGGGCCAGGCCAGATTTACACCCCTATTTCCAAGCAAAACAATACACAAGTTGAGTTAGTAAATGGGTTGCCAATTAATTTACCGGTCAATCAATTAGTAAATTTTTACCATTTACCTCATCTCATTTAACTCAACTGGCTCATTTTTTTCAAGTTAAATTGTGAATTTGAATCGATTTAAATTACAGTTTGACAATTTTTTTAAACACCTTAGAGCATCTCCAATGGTGTGCCATTGGAGCTGTTATTGCCAAATTATGGCAGCAGTTAATAGAAAGGCACCTTCAATAGTAAGTTTTACCAGTGGCTGTTTTTGGCAAATACCAAAGCTGTCAAGTCAGCTTCAACCAACTCTTTCCTCCCTCTCTCTCTCCTTTTTTCATTATCATTTCCAAACACAGAAGCAATATTCACCAAAAAATTACACAAATTTCAAACATATCAAATTTCAAAACATATAATCAATCTCCAAACACAGAAGTAATCTAGAAAATCAACAATTTAAAATTTTAAAACACAAAATTATCAAGTACCAAATTTCCAAACACAGAATCAACAATCAATTTCCTTTCAAAACACGTTGATTTAAAAACAAAGATCAATTTAGAAAATCAACAATCATCATCCTTTCAAAACACAAAATCAATTTCCATTTTTCAATTTTAGCAATTTGAAGAAAAACAAATTTAAAAAAAAAATTAGAAAATCAACACAGTGAAATCAAAAAAATACCTGACAGAAATGGGTTGATCCTTTTCGTGTTCTTTAGATGATCTTCTTTGTTTTCATTAAGGTTTCAATCTTCTTCGTGATCTTGTTCAACGTCGCTGATCCATTCTAGGAGTGAGAGAGAAAGAGGAGTGAGAGAAAGAGAGGGGTGGAGGTAGACGGTGGTGCTTGGGGGAAAGGGAGATTGAGAGTGAAAGGGAAAGGGAAATGGAGAGGGAGAGGGAGAGAGTGAGAGGGAAAGGAAGACGGAGGAAAGGTTGTCTTCGGTAATTGGGGGTAGACATTATCGCAAATCGGAGAGAGAGAGAGAGGGAGACTGAGATGAAAAAGGAGGACAAAATGGTGAGAGAGAGTGAGAAAGAGAGGAATAAGGTTGAATGATTCTACACAAATCATCTCAACCATTGATGATTTGTACGTGGACGGTGGTGATGAAAGAAACAGAGCTGTTTTGTAGTGGTATGAATTTTGGTGGAGTGAATTATATTTAATTTTCTTTTCTTCAATTTTTCATTTTTTATATTTGTCTAGTCAGGAATAATGTAAATATATAATTTTTTTTAGAAACAATTCAAAAAATGTCACTAAAGACAAAAAAAAAACAAACAAACAAAAAAAAATCACTCAAAAATTTATATTCAAACAACACTTATAAATTTAAAAAAAAATTGATTGAAATTTATCAAAATAACATGTGACTATTAGAATTTCATTACTATAATTTAGTAAAATAATACTATTCATTATCAAATGATAACAACTTTAACAAATAACATAGAAAATGCTCTTAGCTGGTAGTGGTGATGGCATCTGCTAGGAAACTTCTTCGTCCTCGGCTGTTTCTTGTTACTGTCACTGTTTAATTGTTACTGTTTATGGTCCCAAACATCTTTGCAACAATCGACGCACTCATTATTAAGCGCTTGTTTAGCCAGTATTAAAAAATATATATTTTTCTTTACATATATATATTTATTTAGATAACATCAATTAATATTTATTAATATTTACTCTCTATTTTTTTATTCATATTCTCTATTCCTTTTCATATTTTTTATAAAAATTCAAAAATATATTTATTTAGAATATTTTAAATCACTCTTAAATTAATCAATTAATTAATTAAAAATACTTCCCTATCACCGTCCAATTATTTTTATTTTTATTTTTTATTTTTATTTTGTGTGCTCTTTAATTGACATTAATATGCGTACCGACACAAGCATTCACACATATATGCTAAACTCAAAATCGAGCGAGCTCTACTTCCATTTCTGAAGCAATGAGTCAAGTTTACCACACAAGCCATCAAGGCCCTCATCACCCACAAGGCAAACTCAAAATCCAAATCTTTTACAAAATCTAAATAATACTGTTCATGGGTTTTACTCACTGATTGATTTCTGATTCTGGGTTGACTTTGATTTTTGATTTCAGGTTATGGGTTTTACTCACTGATTGATTACTGATTCTGGGTTGACCTTTGATTTTTGATTTCAGGTTATGGGCCGCGTCCGCCGCATCCCCACCCATCAGGGGCTCCTCCGCCGCCGTTTGGAGGGTACCCTCCTCCGCAGCCGCCTCGACCCCCTGGTCCCCAAAGCTATCAAGGTTACTTCAATACCTACCCTCCACCGCCTCAGCATGCTTACCACCACCACCACCACCATAACCAAATGGATGACGGCTGTTCTTCACTTCTGAGAAGCTGGTATGTCATCTCTTTTAGGTTATATGCTTGATCGGTTGATGATATTGATTGTTCTTTTTTTATCTTATCTGAAATTTATTTGCATAGATTGGTGGTTTGTGATGGGTTATTGTAATTCTGATGATGATTTTTCTTTGATATGTCCAAATTAGATCTATTTTAGTTACTTTTCAAGTTGGAGTTTATTATGTTAACTATGACAACCATAATAATTTCATCATCCACCTAGTTTCAATTGCTTTTCAAGTTTGGAATTTGTTATAAACATCGAATTAAAAAATTGATCTTGAATCTTCTAATTAGTCAAATTTCCAAGATCTTAGTTTTGGAATTTATCATACGTGCAAAATCCTTGTGTTTTGCTCAATTACTACAGCTTTTCATCAGTATTGATTGATTTGGGTTATGTGTTGCCAATTGGAGAGATTATGTATGACGCTAAAAAGAATATATTTATGCTAAAAAGGAAGCCTTAAAAAGGTCCTAATCGAGCAAGCCGCCAGTCAAAGACTATGGAAGCAACTAAATTGCTTATCTCTTAAGCAAAAGCATTGAAGATAATTAATAAATAAATGGATTTGTGAGAAATGCTTGGTGTGAAAAGTACCTTGAGTGAGTGGCTTGAGTCAAAAGCTTGTGAGGACATGAGTTTTATAGCTAAGTTTGCAGCTGATTTGAGTTGATTAGCTAAATAGCTGACTCAAACAGGCGAATAACCCAATAAAGAACCAAGCAAACGAAAGATGCTAGATTAGTTTGGCAAGTCAAGTGGTAGGATGTGAAGAACATACCAAGAAAGCAGACTGGTTGCTGGAGACTTGTGGGGTGGAGGCTAAGGGTTTAAGCTTGTTGAGTTACTGAGGGATAAGCTATGACAAATTGCTCAACCTTGGTGGCTCGATTGAGCTGGTTGAAAGAGGGGTAGTTATATCTTCCCCATTCTGAACTGGTCTATTTCACGGATCCTCTCTCTATTGTTCTTCCCTTACACCAATTGCTTGAAATTTTACATTACCAATACAACTAAATCTATTCTACTACGATTCATAACGCTGATACAACTTGGTATGCCTGGATTGCGTTGTTGGTTGAAAACTGATAGTCAAATACTGAAGTTCAGACATATGCTTGACCCTAGTTTCATTTTTTTCAATTTGGTAAATCTTAACGTAGAGCATTTGAAATTTTTGATCCAATTTAATATTTTCCTATCATCTTTGTTGACTGACTGATTGAAGTTTGCTCTGGTTTTCTTTGTTTAAGTAAAACTTGGTACTAGATGGGCAAAATATACTTCTACTAATTGTTGTAATATATCAAGCCTTTTTTTATATTATTTTTTTAACAGAATATATCAAGCTTTTACCTTCAGTTTTTTTACCCAATTGGAGAATTGTATCTGTTTCTACATGTGAGATTATGCTTAGGACTGTTTCACTTTTTTCTATACTGTGGCAATCTATTGTTGGTGCAGATTCAGAACCTTTATATATTTGTAATAGTTTTTTTCTTTACATTGTTCATACATTTTTGTTTCTTTGATGGGATTATTTGTGTTTTTTTTGTTTCCCTTTATATTGACATGAGATAGTAACCATTAATGAATCAGATTTTCTGGCAGACAAATTTTGAGAGCCTTCGACCACGAAGTACGCAACTAGGATTCTCATAGATCAACTCCTAGTGCAATTTCAGAGTAACATAGGATGGTTAACATATTAAGCTTTTACATATTTTAATGTTGGTATGGAAGCATAGATTTACATTTAATAGCAATTGATTTGTAATTGAACAATAAAATTTCCTCATTTGTTAGATCAATAGTTTCCGATTTTTTTAACATGCTTAAACTAAACAAGTTTAAACCCACTTAGGGTTAGTTTGGGGTGTCCTAAAAAAGTGCACTTTTTGTCTTTTTACGAAAAGATGTGCAGAAAAGTAGAGAGGTGATGTGATGGAAAAAAGATAAAAAAATGGATTATATAGGTTATGCCAAACCAGGCCTTAGTTGGGGTCAACTAGTGTATCCATTTCTTCCAATTGAATAGATTTGTAGCTACCTCATATAGTGCCACGTGTCGTGAACACATAGGCAATGATGCATACTTGGTACGTTGACATGAAAACCTAAGCGTACTACCCTTTGAGCTTGAGGGACACATGTATGGTCATAATCAAAGGAAATTAAATGACTTACAGGGATCCTGTCTAAGCCCTCAGACTTCATTTTTATGAAGTATTGTCTATCTGACATCCCACTGGAATCATATCACGTGCCTCATTACCGCAGAAGTAATATTGCACAATCTACTACTCTAAGTAGGGTTTAGACACATCGAAGTCTTCAACATGGATTGTGGGACTCTTGGGATGTAGTGGCTTGGATGCTTCACCCTGGGCACTATGCCCTCATGGGTACTATCTTGGGTTATTCCCTTAGTTGCACGAAGTGGAAGCGGGGGAACATGGCCACCTAGAGTAGTCGTAGATTAGAAGCGCTTATGTATTACTTGTATTAATTATATTTTATTTATTATAATAAATGAGGAATAATAAATTATGTTAAAATAAATGAAAAATAGATGTTTTATTCTATACATTTTTTAAGATTTTTTATTATATATGATTTAAATAGATTTTTTTTAAACAATTAGATGATTTATTTTATTTATTATATGTTAAATAGATTTCTTTTATTTTAGATGTTTTATGTTTTATATATATATATATTACTTATATTATATAGATCGTGAGAAGGCCAGAGAGAGAGAGAGAGTGCGCATGTGAGAAAGAGAAGGCAAAGACGAAGGCGATCGTGAGCAGATCGAAGGTGAGAGCGAAGGTCGACGTCGATGTTGAAGGCAAAGGCTAGGGCTAGAGCAAACGTCGATGTCGAAGGCGAGACCAAGTCTCTCTCTCTCTCTCTCTCTCTCTCTCTCCTCTTTACGATCCCATCTTGAACTGAATTGCGTTTCTCTCTCCACAGAAACGTGATTCTTACACGTTTCTTTCTAGAAAACGCGGAATCGCGATTCTTACTCAGAATTGCCACCTGGCTGCACGATTACTGCAACTATGGTTATTCCTACTATGAGAGAGAGACCGTGTTACTAAACCCATGTATGGAATCTTTAGAAACGAGACAAATCTTAACACCCCGATTGTTTTCTAACATATGTCAACAAAATCCTGAGAAATCCGAGCACTTTGTTGTGGTCATGTGACTAACCTTCCATAAGTAGAAGTAAGTATTCCTTTACATCACAAGTTTTTTATGCATCATCTTCTGAGAGGTCTTCCCTGAGCTAAAGACTTGAAACTCCCGTACTCTGCTGCCTCTTTCTCTTTCTCTTTCTCTTAGTTGAACTGCTTTATCTCTTAGTCTTTCAAGTACTGCATGTCTGACAGCTCGTTCAACCACTTCCACGATATTCAAGTCATATTTGGCCCCATTGACAGACTCCGTAAATTAGTGTGTGTGATCAAATTGACTGCACTGCTACAATTGGTGCTAGAGAAAAACGTATAATATTCTTAAAATAACGAATTTGCCAGAGATGGTCACATATTTGGCCCTGTTAACAGACTCTATTGAATTATAAATTTTATGATTCTCCTATTAAAGAAAAGTGGCTGCCTGTGTCACCATTTGTTTTGTAGGATGCCACGTTAGGAAATTGGGTTTTACGTTCATGTCATTTGTACCAATATGAGAATATTGAATTACTTCCCATAGTTTGTGATTCGTGACACAATGATACACATCATGAAATATCATTAGAGTGAAATTGAAAGGAGCTTAATTTTTCCTACTCTGTTCCGAGTTTTTGGATTACATTGCACCTGGGATTGATAACTCTGATAAGAGGATACCTTCTTTGAGACAATCATTAAACTGATTTATGTTGCATTTTCTTTTTCCATTTATGTTCTTTGTTGGTTCTGCAGTTTGGCTGCTCTCTGTTGCTGCTGTGTGCTGGAGCGTTGCTGTTGCTGCTTCTAGGTTGAGAAGTGGGCTTTGATCAATCAGGTATACATGTAATAAATAGTTCGTGATACATTCCCCGATTTCTCATGAATGTCTGCATAGCCCCATTTAGTGTGTGTGACTAAATGAGAACTATCATTCTCTTTTTTCTTGTTCTTTTTTTGTTTTGTTTTGTTTTTTGTTTGTTTTTTTTTTTTTTTTTTTTGATGTTGTGCAGAAGACTACGACTATGCTGAATGTTGTATCTGTATCACTGCTTTTTCTGGGTTTTTGAATGTGAACAATTAATCTAGACAATTTATCCTGTCGGTATAGATCTATGCAGAAGTGACCATCTCTGTGTTTGGCTAGCAATGTATTAGCAAAAATCTGGTTTAAGCCTAATCGACAGTAATGAATCAATCGACAGACTTAAATTGATTTTTAATAAATACAAAAAAGGTCAAGTTTTGTGGTTGAGTTCTATGCCTTAAACAGATTAAGAATTTTCTTGGAGGTTATCAAGCAAAGAAGAGACAGAACATGACAGAATTTGTATTTATTCAAATAGATTGTCACTTGTTACCAATTACAAAAACCTAAACAAGAACAAAGAATTGAAAAATACAACAATCGACAGAAGAAAAGAAATGGGGGTTGGAAAAACTATCACTTAATCTATTCCTAGCAATTGGTAAATTAACTACTTCTAAATAGATATCATGATTATTCGATGATTGAATGGTTTTTGAGATGATCTTGGTTGTCTCTCTTGGCTTATTTATAAGTTCAGTCACAAGAGATAAAGAGAGGTAATCAAATCTAATGATTTCCTCAACATGTCAAGATTTACTCAACATCATCATATTCATAGGAATCCCTTTGCAAATTTGGTGCTTGACTTGGTCTTGATTCCTTGATCTAAGCAACTAACTTTCAAATGGCTGCAATGCCTGACTTTTTGACCCTCTATTTAACATGTCATCATTCTACGTCCTTAACACATTTGTTATGCCACGTCAACATGCTTGTCGACAGAAATAATAATAATAATAACAAATGTGGCCAAGGTTATAATATAAAAATAGTCTATGCTTTCAATCGATAGACCATAAGTGAACTTGATCATAATTAATAGGCCACAATCGTTAGAAAAATAAAATGTGGTGCCAACAATGCCCCATCATTTAAATGGATTGAAGAATAAAATAAAATTAAATGATTTATAAATGGGTTTATCACAATCAACAGAAAATATTTTATGGTTCAAACAATTCGAACTCTTGTAGAGTTATATTACACCCATAGTAATTTTTAATCTATCATTGTCGATTGGTGAACACCCTATTTTTGGCTCAGTCAAGGGACATAGCAGAGAACCACATTCTTATTTTTAGAATAAAATAATTCTTTGCTAGTTACATTTTGACTAATTAAAGAGAATTCACTACATATAGCATTCTTCAACTATTGTTGTTTTTCAAATCATGTCATGAAAATTAATTTTTTATGTGATCCACAAACCCAAAGTGGATGTTGAATTCCAAAGCTCACATAATTAAATGTCATAAAAAATTCATAAATTTTGACACTTTGAACAATGTCAAAAAATTCACACTCAACAAATATGGGTTGTTCATAATTTTCCGACATTTTTTACTTAAAACCATGCTGCCCGAGTTCATAATTTTCAGCTACCTTTCACTTAAAATCATGCATCCCAAGTGAATTTTACCATTATTTTGTGATAAATTTTTAACATTTTTTTAGGGAAGAGGTTCTTCTTCTTTTTTTAGCCATTAATGACTTCTCACTTTTTGCCACATTTGGCAAAACATTACATCCCCAAGTGAACTTTTGTCATCAGAATTCTCCGTATTTTTTTAGAGAAGGGATTGTTTTTTAATTTTAGCAATTAATGGCCTACGAAAATTCTTCAAAGTCATATATTATCTTCCTGACTTGGTGTGCTAACCCTTCGAGTCACATACCTTGGCTCTTCATGAATGATTGACTCTTTAACAATATGTGTGTTAATCTTATAAGCCATATTATTTTCATATCTTAATTTTTCATTGTCTATTATGTTTTCTAATTTTTGCTTCCAACATAGAATTTCTTCATTAATTAAAAAAATTTAGTCTCTAAATCGATTAATTTTTCCATCACAGTAATTTAAATATTTTTGTGTCAAATAATACGGAAATGATGAAATTATTTGAAATATTTGCTTGTAAAGAAAATTAATTTATTCTTTTAGGACTAAAATTTCACTCCCACAACAATAAATTTCATTCTCATAATGCTAAATCATTATTTTCATATCATTTGTGATGCCATTATGTTGGCAATAAGCAGTTGAACCACCACTATAACACTGACAATTTTCAAAAAGTGAGGCATTCTATTGATAATCTGTATTCATGGAAATATTGCCACTCCATTGGCGGTTTGCATCCATAAGTTCACAAGATATAAATATGCCACTTGAAGGCATGATTTTATACGCATTAGTCTGCTTCTTCATTGCCATTACTCCAAGTTAAAATGGTCCCACCGGGTGCGTCAATTTATGCTAGCAAAAATCCGATTTAAGCTGAATCGACAGTAATGAATCGATAGACTTAAATTAGTTTTTAATAAATATAAAAAAGATTATGTGACACCCTGAACGTTTAATTAAATACCACATAAATATTTATAGTTATATATAATTGTGAGTGCATGTGATAATATATTATTAAATAAATAATAATAAATACATAATCTAATTTGGCATTGGGTTATCAAATATGAGATTAATTAGGGATTATTATTTGGGGTCAAATTAACAGAAATATGAAATTATAACACTAGTTGAGCCAAATTAAAGTTAAAGATAGGAGATAAATATATATAAAAGTAAGAGTAAATAGCTAATAATAATAATAATAATAATAATAATAATAATAATGGGTGTGGTAGTAAAATAAATAATTAATTTTCTGTTGGTATACGATAAAACATAATTTAATTAGGGATTAATTTGTTTATATAATTATATTAGGAAACTGGGCCAAAGTATAATTATCTTAAATATTTATTAAGATAAGTATATATCCATTTGAGTTATGATCAAATCTAGGCAGGATTTGAGTAGTGCTACATGTTGGGATGCTTTTGCTTCCCTATAAATAGGGAAGAATTGATCAATATCTGTGGAGTTGATAAAATCAGTGGGGAGAAAAGGAAGGAAAAAAAAAAAAAAAAGAGAGAGAGAGAGAGAGAGGAGGAGAGGTTCGTAAGTTGGTGGAAGTAGAAATTTATAGTAGGAAGGTTGTAATAGTGGAGTAAGGCTAAGGTTTAATATTAAGGTGAGTTATATTATACATTGAGTTATCATAATATATTTTACGTATGTTTTGACTTACCATAATGTATTTTATACAAGTTGTATTTTATTAGTTATATCAATACAAATTATATTTTATAAATATTTCAATTACGTGGATTAATTTCTGAACTCTATTTGTTTAAAATGGAACCCACGAATATATTTGTTTAAATTTTAAAGAATATTTGACTATAACCTTATAAACAATTATGTTTTGTAAGTACCATCACGGGAGTCTCATGCCTTGGAGGACTTAAATAACTATTGGCCTCTGTTTGGCCACTTTGTAGTCCTCTGTTTGTCATGGATCCATTGACCTCTGTTCTGATTGTCACTTATGTGATCTATGTTCTGTTCTGTTATGTACCGTGGTTATAGTTATTTATTTACATAATTTCTGTACTTCAGTTTCTGTCACTTAAATGATTTATTTACCAAATTGAGTTATGTAAATATTTTGGCCTAACTAACTATTTATGATTATTTTGTATTCCCTATACTCTTGGCATAATATTTCTTACGCTGCTGTGTGTTTATAGCTGCTACCCTTTCAGGTGACAAGATATACGGAAAACCCATAACCTCACGAAATGGAACATGCACATGGATTGATGTTGAACTACTATTTTGTCTTTTTTTTTATATATATATTTTTTTATTATATATTTTTTCTCCCTTTTGTTCTACTCAGGGTCGGTCACTGAATAATAAAATAATAAAAGCCCTATAAATGTATTTTCTCTTATTAAAATAGTAAAATGGAGTAATTTTTTGTTTAATTATTTTTATTTCCACTTGCGCAGTTTAATTTGTTACAAATAGAATGAGTTAGTAAGTTGTGATTCTAACCCTAAGCCCCTAGGGTCGAGTCGTGACAGATTAGACTTTCGGGTTGAATTCTATGCCTTAAATAGATTATGAACTTCTTTGGAGGTTATCAAGCAAAGAAAAAATATAACAAAATAGAATATATATTTATTCAAATATATTGTCACTTGCTACCAATTACAATAACTTAAACAGGAATAAAGAACTAAAAAAATGTAACAATCGACAGAAGAAAAGAAATGGAGATTAGAAAAGCTATCACTTTATCTACTCCTAGCAATTGCTAAATTAACTACTCTTAAATAGATTGCACGGTGTGTGAATGGTTTTTGAGATAATCTTAGTTGTATCTCTCTTGATTTATTTATAAGTTCAATCATATGACACAAAGCAAGGTAATCAAATCTAATGATTTCCTCAACATCATTCATATCTCATGCTCATAGGAATCACTTTGCAGAGGCATCGTGCTTGACTTAATCTTGACTCTTTGATCTAAACAACTAACTTTTAAATGACTGCAATGGCTAATTTTTTTACCCTTTAGTTAACATGTCACATGTCACATGCCTAATACATCTATCATGCCATGTCAACATACTTATCGATAGAAATAATAATAATAATAATAACAAATGTGACCAATGTTATTTTTTAAAAATAATGTATGATTTTAATCGACAGAACATGATTAAATTTGATCATAATTAACACGTCACAATCGATTAAAAAAAATGCGATGTCAACCTAATATTTGTGTCGTTTCAATTTCATTTCAGATGATTATAATTCCCCACATCTCTAAGAAGCAAGAACTTTGATAATACTATTCGAACTATTGGAACTATCTTTGTAGGAACTTTCAATCAACAAAAGAGGTTTGGTCCTTTACCTACTACTCATGCTATGACACTACAAAAAAATTGACTTTTTGCGGCGGTAAAATACCGTCGCTAATACTCCTAATGCCGTCGCTAATACTTTTTGCGACGGCAAAATGACTTTTTGCGACGGCAAGAGGGGGTCCGCAACTGCAGGGGTTGCAAAAGAGTTTTTGCGACGGTAAGTGCCGTCGCTAATGTTTTGCGACGGCATTTTTTACCTTTTTGCGACGGCACCGTGCAGTCGCTAATAACGTTTGAAATTTCTTGACTTTTTTGCGACGGCCATATTTTACCGTCGCTAATAGTCTTTTTAAAAAAAAAAACACTATTTTTTGCGACGGTGTGGTGCCGTCGCAGAAAGTATAAAAAATATGAAATTTTCTATTTTTTGCGACAGTGTAATGCCGTTGCAAAAAATATTAAAAAATAATAAAATTTTTATTTTAAATAATAAAATTTCTATTTTTTGTGACAGTATAATGTCGTCGCAAAAAGTAAAACCTATAACAAAATTAATAAAAATATTAAAATTTTCTATTTTTTCCGACGGTGGTGCCGTCTCTCACTCTCTAAGAGCTGATTATTTACATTCCATTCACAAAAACATCATAATAGAAAATAAAAATAAAAATAAAAATTGATCAAACCATCAAATTCAATATTTTACAAAGAATAATTAAACTGTACATGTTCATAAAAACATATTTAAATTATAAAATTCACCCAAATCCTAAAAAAAAAAAAAAAAAAACTGATCCTGCCCATTTCCCCCTTTGGTGAATGTTGTAGTTGAAGCCAATGGTGATGGCAATGGTAATGCAGCTCCAGAACTTGCTTTCTTCTCATCAATGCTGAGAACTGAGGTATTTGACTGGTCGACATTCAAGGCAGTGGTCGACTCTGAAATAGCTCCTGATTTAAACTTTGGTTTTTGCTTAAGAGCATGAATTCCAGTGTACAGTCTGTAAAGCGAGAAACACAACACAACCCGTAAATTCATGAGTAGAAATCCATACAAGGCACATATGATACAATCGTATACACCATATTTGCTATCGTGAACGTGACATAATCTTCTAATGTGTTGAAACAATATAATATTTCTTTCAAAATCCAAACTTCATCAGAAGTAACCATTTTCTTCAAGGGAAACACCAATCTATTGCAAGAAACAATTTAACAATTCGGTGACACATGACCTTCGCCAGACAGAGAACCAGAGGGTATTAGCCCCCAACCAAACATTGGAAATTTCACAATTCAACTCTTGCTGACATGGCTGCTAACCAAGAGTAATGTTTAGCACTGTTCCATTTATATCTTCTTCATGACAAGTTAACCAAAACTCTATCTTAACTACATATTTCCAATGATGAGGAAAACTTCACAACTATAGGAAGTAAGGCCAATATAGGAAACACAATAGCTGATTAAGGACCAAACATGGCAGATGACACCTTGGTCGGTCAAATAATTCAAGTGTTCAGCTCAATGTGTTCTAGGAAAAGCTACCGATACAACATCGCTACCTTGTGTGCCTGTTTTAGGACCGAAGGGGATTTAGTCCTAAAACAAGTGTTGAATCTAGAACAAAATTAAGGACCGAAGAAAAGCAACCACATAATGACCGCTGCTTTCTTTAAAGGCAGTTCTCATCCACATTTTTTGTATTTTTGTCATTTACTATAAAGTTAAGGTTATTTATGTCTACATACATAAATAAGGGCAAAATTGGGAATGACATGAAAATTTGTGATGATCTGATCAACATCTGTTAGTACTATTAACAGACAACTAACAGATGGGAAAAGTGAAATTCAAAATTGAACCTGAAGGGAGGTTAGTGTTTTTTTAGAAACGTCAAGGGAGGCTTCTATAATTGTCATAAACCTCAGGGGAGGTCAGTGTAATTTACCCTTTTAAATAACCTACCTTCATGATGGGTTCAGTCTTGATAACCACTGAGATCAATCACGCAGAAGTCTCACATTTTCAGAAAAATAAAAAATAAACAAATGACATAGTGGCAATGTATCACCTAGCATGCCTGGCGTACTCCTCGTAATTTTCAAGCAACATCTTGCCAGCCTGCTCATTCAGAGCTGATTCTGGAAATGGTTCTATCAGTAGACACCTGACTACCTGTGATATATAACAAATATAAGAGCTTAATGAGAAGATAATCGGACCAGCACACAAGCCACGTGAATGCAAAAATCTCTAGAGGATTGATGGGTTCAACAAATTACTGGTCTCTGCATCAAAGTGAAACAAAACTAGTACTCTAAACTGCACATCAACTTACAATCAGAACATGTCGTAACCCAAGACTTGGATTCCAATCCTTTTTCAATGTGTTGACACAAATCTCACCATTTGTTGCAATGTTTGGATGAAAAATCTTAGTCAGAAAGTAACCTACAATAAAATTCACAGAGGATTCAACATATGGGAATGGATTGATGATGAATAATTTGTTCTTGAAAAGACAGAAATCTTAAAAACTGCAACAGAGCAGACTGAGAGCCAAGAATTTCACAGAGCATGCTAATCCATAAAGAGTGGACAACAAGATCATTTTAACCAGGAAATCAACTGGCACAATTGCCCATGCTTCTCTAAATCCTTTTCAAATCTTCACTCCACCAACTATGGCCAAAACATTAACAAAATTCTTGAAGCCAAGCAAGCAATATTCAGAAAATATATGAAATTCCACTGCCATATACACTGGGAGACGGTGATAACGATACCATTCTGCCACCAGTCACAGAAGGGCTGGGGGATGCAAAAACTATATATAGATCCGCACGGTAAACTAATCATCACACAACTATATATACACCGGATCTAAAGACGCAGGCAAACAAAGAATCATCAAGTTGTGAGTAGTGAAGTATGAAATATAGAAAGGTTACTGACCATCAAAAAAATAGAGATAAGAATGAGAAAGGGAAAAAAGAACGAAATATAGAAAGATTAGATTGAAAGAAACAAAAGACAGGTTATGAATGGTATATGATCACACTACATGAGTAAAAATCATGTCAAAAATGGCAGTCCTGCAACATATAATATATAATTTTTCTTTAAGTTCACACCTCAATCAATTTAAACTACTTACAGGCCAAAGGAAAGACAAATGTCACAACCTTTGGTGGAATAAATTCTCTTAACTCATAAGCCTCAACAAACCTTTGGGAGGGGAATGCGGGAAGTCATGAGACAATATCAATTTCATGCGGAAAACACCATTCTTGTAAGGAGTTCCAGCTGCAAGGTTGATATTTGGTCAGTCTAAAAAATAAATACCTTTAATGATCATACAAGGTTTGAGTGAAAATAACATACCTGGGCCTTCAATGTCAGCATATATGATTGAAAAATCATCATCATTAACACCTACTTTAATGCCCTCCGGAGGAGTTTCATCAAGATTCTTCAACTTCGTCGCAAGTTGCTTAATGACGTTCGGTGGAAGATTTTCATTGGTTGCCTACCACAATAATCCAATAAGTAATGTTTGTGAGAATATTCCTTGATGTCAATTAATGAATTCTACAGACAGAAAAGCTTTGAATTTATATCCTTTTTGACTGAAAGGGATCTTAGTATTCATTGTACAACAAAGTGCTAAGTTTGGCACATATGCCCTAGTTGAGAAGTTTAGAACATGATGCAAAAGATGTCTATCACAAAACCAAGACATGTGTCACCATCCAACTCAAAAAAAAACAAAAAAATCCAATCAACCACAAAGCATTTTTAACTAACCACTGCAAAATGCAATAGACAATTCAAACATAGGTTTTACAGTCCAGCTCATTCAAGTTTAAACCTTCCATTACTCGTGCAATAACACATCACATTTCGGGGAAAAGAATAACTTGTGTGTGACTTGGGGAAAAAAAAATATATATATATATCTCTATATTACTCATAATATGATTGATGGTAGATAAGGAAAGTATTGAGAGAATTTATACCTTAAATAAGCACAAATAAACACGGTGTAATTGTATTAAACTTGTGTGTGACTTGTTGTACTTACCTATCTTTAAACTTTAAAGAAATGTTAGTATAATTTACTTTATATTTTTTTACACACAATTTTATAAAAAATGTTTAATAATTTAAAATTTGTTAACAAGAGTTCTTGAAAATAAAAAAATAAATAATAAATAACTATTTTAGGTGTTTATTTAACAAGGAGAAGCTATGTAAGTAAAACATTTTAGGGATAATTTCATTTTAGTGTATATTTAGAACTATATATATGTAACAGATCAAAAACCCCCTATATACACTCACAGATGTATATATATATATATATGTGTGTGTGTGTGTGTGTGTGTATGAAAACCCCCTATATCCGAAATCCAGATACAGAGAGAGAAAGAGAGATACCCTTTGAAATCGGTGGTGAGGGAAGATCGCCGGCGAGGGAGGAGTGGCGGTGAGGGGCGAGCAACCGTCAACGTCGTTTGTGAGAGAGAGAGAGAGGGAGGCAGCAGCGGCGGTAAGGGAGGAGGATCGACAGTGAGGTACGAGCGACGGTGAGGGAGGATCGGGAGTGAGGGAGGATCGGCGGTGACGGATGATCGGCGCCGTCGTTGTGTGAAAGAGAGAGAGAGGAAGGCGAAACCCTAGATGGAGAGAGAGAGAGAGAGCGAACAGGAGGAGAGGAGACGGCTCTGTTGTGTTTGTGTTGTGTGTGTGTTCTCAAACAAAACCCTACGCACACCCACAAATGTTATAGTTAATGAATTTTTTATTAAAATAAAAAATTATTAAAATAATTTTTATAGTTGATAAATTTTTTTTTTCATTTGGTAAAGTTAAAAATTTATTTGTTTTATATTTATTTTAATGAATAAAAATTTTTTTTTTTTATTTGGTAAAAGTAGGAATAATATTTTCCATTAAAATAAAGTTTATTTTTTGTGGTCAATGAAAAATATTTTTTTGTGACCCATTTTTTTTTTTTTTTGTTACTAAAAATCAAGAACTAATATTTGTGGCAGAAGATAGGAAGTGGTAGTAGTGGTGAAAGTGGTGGATAAGAGGTGATAATGGTGGTGGTAGTGATGGTGAAGAAGATAAGTAGTGAAGTTGTGGTAGTAGTAGAGGAGATAAAATAGCAGTGGTAGAGGAGAGGTAATAGTAGTAGTAGTGGTGGTAGTAGAGTGGTAGCGATGATGGTAGTAATGACAGTTATAGAGGTGGAGTGACAACAGTGGTAGTAATGGAATGACATTTGTAGTAGTGGTGAATGTGGTAGAGAAGATAGGTGGTGAAAGAGAGATGAGAGAGAGACAAATAGAGAAGAGAGAGAGAGAGAAAGAGAGACAGACAGACAGAGACAAAGTGATGAGCGAGAGAGAGACAAAGTGGTCGCTAAAAGTGCATTTTCTTGTAGTGGATAACTCAGTAAATAAAGAAGAGATGAGGGAGAGAGTGAGCAAGGTGAACACAATAGAGGAGAGAGACAAACAGACTGACAGACACATAGAGAGAAAGAGAGAAACAGTGGATCAATATTTACACAATAGTGGTAGTAGTGGTAGTGAAGTGGTGACGATGGCAGTAGTAATGAGTGAGAGAGATAGAGAGAAGAGAGATGAGCGAAAGAGACAAAGAGAGAAGATAGATGAAAGAAGAGATAAATGAATGAGAGACACAGAGAAAGAGAGAGTCAAATAGACAGACAGAGAGAGAAGAGTGAAAGAAAAGAGAGAGAAGAAGATGAAAAAATGGGTGAAAAGATATAGATAAAGAGAAAGAGACAGAGACACAGAGAAAAAAAAGAGCGAAAATAGATAAATAAGAGAGAGAGACAGACAGAAAGAGATGAGCGAGAGAGTGAGAGAGAAAAGAATAAGAGAGAGAGAGAAGAGAGACAGAGAGAGAAGATATATGAAAGAGATAGAGAGAAGAGAGATGGACGAGAGACATAAAGAAAAAGAGAGAGATAGACAAACAGATAGAGAAGAGTGATGAGTCAGAGTGAGAAAGAGAAGAGAGACAGAGACAGAGAGAAAGAGAGAGATTGACAGAAAGAGAAGAGTGATGAGAGAGAGAGAGAGAGAAGAGAGAGAAGAGAGACAGAGACACATAGAGAAAGGGAGAGAGAGACAAACAGAGAAGAGTGATGAGTAAGAGAGAGAAAGAGAAGAGAGACAGAGAGATAGGAAGATGAAAAAATGGGTGAAAAGAGAAATGTTCAAAAAAGTAAGACGACATTGTTTGTAGTGGATCGATAAATTGAGAAGGAGCTCGATAAATAGAGAACATGAGAGTAAGAAAGTGAGTAAGGCGAACATAGTGAGGGAGAGATAGACAAATAGACAAGTAGACAGAGAGAGAGAGAAAAAGAGAAGAGTGATGAGTGAGAGAGAGACAGTGAAAGAGAGAGATAGACAGAAAAAGAGATAGAGAGAGAGATGGAGAGAGGGAGAGATAGAAAAAAAGAAAGAAACAAGAGATGAGCGAGAGATAGACAAAAAAAAAGAGAAATAGAGCGAAAAGAGATGAGCGAGAGAGATCATATTAAATAATTTTGGATAAATTTATAATTTAATTCAAGCACACGCCATAAATACTTGCTCGGACATTGACTCGCTCGTGAGAGCCTCCCTAATAATTTCATTTGTTACACACTTAAACTACGTCCCCTGAACTTCATACAAAGTAGTTTCGGACCATAACCGGTTGCGTATTGTTTTTTAATAAGAGCATGTTTCGTATCAACCGCAGCTTCATAGAATATACGGCCTTAAAATTTTCAATCTTTTATTTTCTTCTTTTCTTTAATTTTTTGTTTTCTGTTGTGCTGCAAGGTTCCCGGGAAATAATTCCTATCTTACTTCTTACTCTTCCCAAGTTTTTTTGAAAACAAAAAATGTTGCTATCTGCTCTACCATCCTCAAAATGCTTCTTCGCTCGTCGTCTTTCGGATCTCTCTCTCTCTTCTCTCTCGTCGTCGTCTAACTGTAATATCTCTTCCATTATTTCTTCCATCTTTCCTTCTTTTAAATTTTTTTCATTATTTCTTTTAAAAGATACTTGCTAACATTGTCTATACAATATCTCTAGCGTTAACTCAATAAAAGCTTCACACTAACCCTCATTAAACCTGTAAATATCAGTCCATGGTCGGTAATGCGTCATTCTCTTACCATAGCAACCACCCATCATCCTTCATCTTCTCTGTATCACTATAGACACATATACATTACATATATAGGCATACCAAATTAATTAAGCCAAGACCCAAATTGAATGGTGGCTACCACCAGGGTGCCATGAGAGGTGAAGGTAATGGGTGGTGGGTGTTGGTTGAGTGGAGGAGATGGGGATGAGCTTTGTGGGTGTTTGCAACTAGGGACTATTTACAAAAAGTTATGGTTTTGTTATTGACAATGCATTGCCTTTTCCTAGTATTGTTTGATGTTTATTGGAGTTTCTGAAAACTGACTTCACTTTCCTTTTTAGATTTGGTGCAAAAGTTATCGTTTGGGTCTACATTCTAAGGAGAGAGATGAGTGTTTGTTTGGTCAAATTTTAAAGAGAGATGAGTGTTTGTTTAGGTCTAAATTCTAGAGAGAGATGAATATTTGTTTTGTGTCTAATTCTACAGAGAGATATATGAACGATATCTGAGAGAGGTCATGGAGTCTGAGAGAGGTCATGGGTTTGGTACACCATTATCATCGATGTTTACCATTTTCACCACGCTTGCAATGCTCAACCTATTCAGTTTTGTTTGGGTCATGATTAGGATGGTTATAGATGTGCAAATTAATGTTTTGGAAGCATTGGCATTGCAGATTGTTTTATGTGGTCTCACTGTTTGATCAACCCTGCCGATATATCGAGGACTCTTCTTTCGAGAGGACAATGGAAAAATGGCCACCTCTGTTGCACATAGGGCTGCAAACGAGCCGAGCCGAGCTTTAGTGTA